ATGTTTAACAATCAGTAGGGGCATAGCTGATGCGAAAGTGGCTTTTCCCTGGTTCATTGAAAAAACATTCTAACCCTCAAAGATCTGAGCTATATATTTCAATATATTTCAATCACATGCAGCCTCCCTTTGAATTTGTAATAATGTGTTTGGATTGATTGAAATGGATCAGCCACATACCTTTTCACCAATTTCTGTGGATGTGGATGTGGGGCCCGTGTGAATTCCCACGGATATTCCCCAGTGATTCCACGAGATCTTTACGGATCTAGGCCTTACGAAGTTGGAGGCCAAAGACTTTTCATTCTTCAAGGGGGGTGCCAAGCAAGCTTCTCTTGCGTGGCTGACATTGGATTCAAAGGATCATGCGAGAAAGCGAACAAGTAACGCTGAGTTCTGCATTCCGTTTTCTTCCAACCAAACATTACCCACAATGATCGTTTCAATGGGCTTGATGTGAATTTGACATGGTTTGCTTCTTAAGGATTCATTCCTAATTGTTGGATTTGTGTCATCAAAAACTCACAGTGGTGGATGCTGTCGAAATCGAACTTTATGAGTACCATGTTTGTGAAACACGAAGAACTGGTTTTGATATTTTAAGTACTGCCCCGAGAAAACCCATATCACAAAACCATCAATCAAGACCATTGGCCCATATTGACTTGGACAGGGATGGCGCGTGGCAAGCGGAAGCTTGGGGAGCCTATGGTTCTCGATCGTGATCCTGGCTCTCTTGAACCTGCCGGTGCCGAAACATTTTGGGAATCATCGTTCAGATTGTGGGAGAATGCTGAAGAATTGAAAATAAAGACTGACCTACTAGCATTGTGCATGAAAGTCTTCCATGATGAAGGATGGGATTTTTTTTTTCAATGGAGGGCATCCTGGTCCCATGGAGACAGGTTTTCACAGTACTATACTGGTCCCATGGAGACAAGTTTTCGCAGTATATACTATAAGTATACTATATAAGAAACAAACAGGTTAACAGGCCTTGAACATTTTACCTCAAGCGATCCATGTTTGTTCTATGACCACTATCGTTGTTGCACTTTCCCCTGACTTTTATATATATAGAACCTGCTGGTTTCAAATCTCACAGTTGGACCATCGCCACATTTGTCATGAGACAGTCATGTGAATGACACCCGCTCACTGCGAGATATTCCGAGATCAGTCCAATAATTTTGCCCTGCAGCCCCTTCGACTCGACTGCCCATGGCGCCTCGTCATAACCTGGATTGCCTTGTGCAGCGACTTGCATGTTTGAATGCGCCGAAGGTTCCTTGGCCACATGGAAGCACCAGATTCATTTGATGGGTGTTGGGTTCTTAGCTCTTATAAATAGGTGGTGAAATTCCACAAGAATCATGCAAGCATAGCCAATTTGATCCAATTTGTATTCCTTGGCCATGACCTCGAAGAAGTCTCACGAAAGTTTGCCCCAAAGGCACGCGCACAGCGGTCAGACGCTGTGCCTGTGTAGATGATCAACTGAAGTTTGGCCCCGATGGCCTTCTCTAGATTCTCAAGCAAAGCATGATTGGCTTGCGAGCGGTGAACTTCATCCACTAACACCATGGTCTTCTCGTGCAGCGCTGCTGTCTGATCCATGTCCCAGCTCGTTCTGAGGCTTTTGTGATGGCAGTTATCCTGGTGTTCTTCGCTGGGAACCTCCCCGAATTTGGGAAGGCAAGCTGTTCACTTGGGTGACTGGTGTGAGTGAACTGGTGCAAACCCCATATCATACATCATAACGGGGCATAAGATCAATCAATCCTGTTTATGAGTGTCATACACACTCAAATGGATTTTCTGCAACCGGTCACAGACGACAGTGGAAACATCAAACATCAACATGTGTCAATTCATTATTCATCCTTCTCTGTTCTGGTCCCTGTTGTGAAATCTTCTGGGCCTATGTAATCTTAAACATGTAGTCACCAAATACTTTCCAAGAGAAATTAATACGAATCATTTTTGAGAGGTGCCCTTCTTAAACGTGTTTTTGTACCAAAGCAAGTTGAAAAAGGACACCTTCTTCACAAGACAAAATGACACCAATTCACGTATCATGCAAATTTGGAATTCGATGGTTCCCCATGTTTTTGTATAACCACTTGTGGGGATCTATCCCAACGATGTGGGTTTAGAAGACATTACCCTTCATCAAAAGTGGATGAAATCCCTCGTGCATGCCCTTCCTTGTCAGGCCCTAAACTATTGTGAGTTCTTCGCAGGGCAGGCAAATGTATGGAGAGCAGTGTCTCAGGTATATCCGGCTGCCCGGGTTGACTTGGATTACAGTGACCCTACATATGTGGAGAAGATGAACCCGATGGATTTCCTATCTTGTCCTGGGTTTGCGAGTCTTGATTTCAATCATTACATATATAAATTTCAATGTTTAATGCAAATATAAAACTAAACCATTACTGGGACTCTGGGTGTACTATGTTTGACCCAAACTGGAAACCCAATAGTTTTGATATGGCATGGATTCAGTGTATATTCCAAACCGCACATAATGGGTGCCCAAATTCTGAACTCAGGATTTGTATTTGGCTTATCCTGAATTGCGAGGAGAAGGATTTCTTTTCATTACTGGCCACAGTATGTACTTCGTGGACCCCAGTAAATGTAGGAACCTCCAAGAGATCCATCCTACTGCCAAGCGGCGCACCGCACTTGGCTTATGTCCAAGATGGAAACTCGATGTGCGAACGGTGCCTTGGTTGGTTTGGTGGGTGCCAAGGACCTGCTTGGAATTATGGAAAACAAATTCACTCGAAATGCTGGACATGAACCTGCAATTGCTAATTTTCCACTTGGGTTGGTCCCCAAAAAAAGGCCCCCACAAGTCCCAACATATTTCATAAAATGCAGGGAACAAAACTATTTTTGGGGGACTTGTGGGGGCCTTTTTTGGTGAACCAACCTAAGTGGAAATTTACCACCTGCAATTACTGGTTTCTCATTTCTCACAGTGTTCAAATGCAACAGGCTTTGATTTTAACAAGCGCCAAAGTGGTATTGGTTTGTGGGTCCCCAACTTTACATGTGCAATGTTACCAGACTGTAAGGAGCAACCCCCATGTAAAGCACATTGGCGCATCCAACCCCAAGGACAGTTCTTCTTGCAATTCTGATTACAGCCTTGGGAGGCACGTTCTGCATAGAGCAGCCAGGTGGATCACTTATGGAATGGTATGACAAAGTTCGTTGGTTGGCCCAACAACTTCCTGCTTTTCACCCGCAAAATCTACAGCTTTTTATATGGGAAAGTCTCAAAATAGAAATGCCCCAAGCTCTGCTTTTTTTTTTAACAAAAGGAAGGGCTTGGGGCATTCATTTATGGCACCCCTATTTTGACACATTCCCTTATCTATAATTGGTTTCCCATATCTATATGATGATTTTTTCCCTTGAAAGTCAACCCAGTAAGGTCTTCAAGTGTGCTTGGTGGATGGGATTGTTTGGATCTTCTACACCAAAGAGGCACAAGTGCTTCACCAACAACCCTTGGTGCCAGAAGTTCAACTTGGGAAAGCTTCGAACATGTCAGTTTTCCAAGCAACAAGACCCAGGTAGCAAATCGACTATCCAATACGTTGACAAAGCTGGAAAAAAAAGATTTAAGGGATCCTCGAAGCTCAAATCCACACAGAAACTGGCTTGACAAATGGTAACGATTTGTTGTTAGCGACTGGGTTGTTTTGATTTATACTTTCATGTTGGAATGTGACATTAAATCATTCTTCCAAAGCCATACATGTGACCAGAGTAGTGATACCCTAGAAAGAAAAGTTGCACAGTGTTACCCTATTGCTATATGGTATATATTCATTGGATTGTTTGTTGAATTTGGTGCATAGGTGGAAGCCAATTTTTCAAGCTCGTCCCATGGCCAAAGTCAGCCAGAGTTCCCCACACAAACCGGCTTGCTTCACCAAGGATATACCCCGTTCGCTTTGGGCTGCAAACTGTCCAGCTCATGCCGATGCTCAAGACGAGAGGCCGTGGTCAGCCGAAGGTTGAAACCAGACCTGACGGCCCAAAGATCTTTCAAGACATGTCTTGGGACCACGAGATGGATTGGTCAGCGGCCCACTTGAAGCCGCTGATCGTTTACTTGAGGGGTAATTCGTCATTGCAACTCCCCGACAAATGGCGGGCAGTTTTCCCACTCAAACTTTAGAGGCTCCGAGTCTCCTCAAAACAGAATTGGTAGAGTTTTTGACTTCACCAAAACAGATCATATGTAGAGATTATGGGTTTTATCCAAACCGTTTGGTCCCGAATACTGTGGCGGAAGACTCAAGTCTGACATTAACAGGGTCAAGCACCGAAAATCTACCACCCGAAACAATTTTTGCGGGAATTTTACATTCAATGGTTTTGATCTCCTTTGAAAACCGTACGAACCCGTATGGACCCGTTCGAACCCGAAATTTACCCGTGTCCATCCGTACAAGGGTGTAAAAAAGTCAACATTTGGGGCCGTTCAAACCCGTAGGCGTACCCGTACTAACCCGTACTAACCCGTACCCGTTCAAAAGGCGTTCAAAAGGCGTTCAAAATGCATTCAAAAGGCGTTCGCTACCCGTTCGCCATTGCGTAAAAATGTTGCATTTTGGGGTCTCCAGATAGCACTGATTTCCAGCTGATCTAGAGGGTCTAGAACCACACCTTTTCCAGACCAGCTCCAGTAAGTTTGAACACATCTTCGTCCACATGGAGATCTGGTGAGCCTCGATGTTGCCAAGCGTGGGAAATTAAATAGATCTTTTGCCACAATTCGAAGTTTCATACATTCGTTGACTAGCGAATGAAAAAAATGTGCCAACTATGATGAACAACCTGATTTCCTTTGCTTCTGAATGGGTCACTGTGTCCTTATTGATGGACTTTCACAATGACTTTGAAATACCTGGCATCCATGATCTTTACTCAAGGTGGCTTGAAAACAGTTTTCCGTTAGGCAACTTAGAAGTGTCATGGCAAACAGCCAAGACCGAACGGTGTCTCTTCGGAGTGACCAATGGTCATGCAGTGAGTTGGCCAAAGGGGCTAGTCTGTGTGCCTCGATGGCTGGTCTTGGCTTGAAAGTGGATCCCACCAAGCTTTCCAAAGATGATTTGAAGCTAGCCATCAAGGATCGACTTGTTGATGCTGATGTTTTCAAATTATTATGCACCAAATCATTTATCCAAAATCATATGTCCCAAATTCTACCTGGGTTCTTCGTTTCAGGAGGCGAAAGCGCTACTGCAGAATCCAGGGGCTGACCCTTGCCTATTTGAGTTTTTTGCAAATCTTCAAAGTTGGGGCAATGATGTATAATTGTATAATGTTGTTTAACCTAGAGTTTGCCTTATCTGGCTACCGGTTTGATCCCCATCGATCCCCATTGCCCCATTTCCCAAGGCACCAAATCTGAAGTTCTTGAAGCCGAAAGACGAAGTGACGTCTGATGAGACCCCCATCCATGAGGCAGCCACCTTACCGGCAGATTCTTGGCAGTGGGAATGGGTGTTGTTTGGGAATTGGCCCAAGGCTTTCCATTCAAGGTCCAATTTCACAAATGGGGAAGAACCAACAAAAGACACATAAATGTGACTTGCCCTGTATATCTATAACGCAGTGTCCCGATTGAGGATGAGGAAGAGATCAAGCGGGCATCTTCTGCATGGAAGGACTTGTGCCGAAAACTGGTTGTTTTTTTAAATTGCATCGTTACGCACACCTGTAGACCCACACATGTTCGAATATGTATTCCCGATCCTTATTCACTTCGTATATACTTATCATGTATTAATCTATGTTATACACCCTTGATGTGTTCAAAGATACTCTTGATGTGTTATTAATAGTTATGAACCAAACCCTCAAGGAATCCGAGAAAGTGGCATCGCCTACTCAGACTTCTTTGGGGGCATCGCCTACTGAAACTTCTAAGGGGACATCGCCTACTGAAACTTCTATGGGATCATCGGAAAGACCTTCAAAACGAGACACTCCGGATACCCTGGAGATGTTGTCACCAGAAAAGAAAAGTTTGAAGGGATCTGGGGATAGCGTTGATGGTCAAAGTCAGAGTGATGATCATGGTAAACGCCCTGCACCAACATCGGAAGAGAAGCTGTCCCCTGAGAAAAAAACGTTGAAGGTTGGTCTTCAAAATGATTCCCAAGATGAACCGGTGGTCCCCCGTTCCCTTTTTGTCGAGTCACCAGCAAAGCTTCAGAACCCTGAGAAGTCCAAGAGCTTACCTGAGCCGAAGGTGGATGAGCCGAAACCCGTGGACAAAACCCCTGAGCAGCTGATGCTGGCTCAGGCCTTGGAACAAATTCAGGCACTTTCAAACAAGGTGCTGGAGCTTGAGAGCGAGAAGAACAAGTCACTGAAGGTTCAAGGAGTACCAGTCGCAACCCCCCAAAACAAGAAACCTCTTAGCTCCACCCCATCATCGGAGGAAGGGTCGAAATTTACTAGCCCTGGTCCCACGCCTGTTGGTTCTGATGATGATAGCAAAGATGATGGGAAGGAAAAGAGTGATGGGGAGAAGTCTCAGGAGCTCATGATTTTTCCCAATGGCTCCAGAGTCATTAGTCATGACGCGCTCAGGATGAGGCTTCGTCGCCTAGTTGAAATAAAGCCTAAAACCAAAAAATGCCACGTGGATGAGGCGACACGGGAGCAATACAGCAAAGGAGGAGAAGATCGCGAGTGGCTTGAAATAGCTTTGATGGAAGCTATTCAGAAAGTTGGGGTTGAGAACCGAAAGCACAAAGCTCTGCGGGTGGCTTGGTAGCTTTGGTGGGAGCAGGGTTAATGGGGATTGGGAAACGGTCGGAGGAGTCATATGTTTTCAACACAAGTTGGCGCAGCGTAAACCTGAAGATCTCATCATTTCAAAAAAGAAGCACTTTTTTTGATTGTTTTGAACCATCTCTCAGGATGAATTCCGGAGCCGGGTCATCATGGTGCGTGAGCACATGACTTCAAAGGAGCAGGAAGTGATGGGCCAGTGGCTCACTGAGGAGCGCATGGAGAAGAGCGGAGACTTTACAAAGACACAAGGCTGCAATCATAATTGATGTTACATGTTGCTTCCAACAGCCAGCTAGGTTTCAACAATCATTTTAACAGAAATCAAATCCCTCTGCACCAAAACTGGTTGCCTTATTGATATTCAATACGTTGACGCACCCAAGTGATATGATTATGTCGCTCCATGACTAACCCTCCCAACGTCACCACCACTAGAAAAGCTAAGGGAAACGATTCGCTCTATCATCACCTACTGCGAGCGATTTCCAGCTGCTTTGGTCAGGTGAGACTGACTTGTGTTTTCTGGCGCTGCCTTTGGGGAACTAAAAACATTAGAATATAAAATTGCCCAATATGACTTTGTGATGCAATTTGTTGGCAGAAAGTCGCTTTGCAGCTCACCATCTGTCTGAAATATAGTTGTGATATTTGTGATCATATACCCTTCGAAAATGAAACCGGTAAAAGGCTTTGACAAGTTCTGAACATATTTCCTCTCGCCAGGGCTTGGAAGTACAACACTGCTGTGTCAGAGTACTTTGTGGAGACCAGCACGAAGCAAGTCATCCGTCAGACCGAGATGCAGAAGCAACAGGAACTCGTTGACGCAAGTGATTCTCGGCAGCAAAAAAATGACCAAGTCAAATCTCTCCTCGATCCATTTGCCTGACATGGGATGGCTTCTTGGTGCCTATAGGGCTAGGGGGAGACTGGGCAAAAAAATCAAATGGGATACGTTACCTTTCCCGTCAGCCCTTGGCTAATGATCTTTCAGGACCAGAAGGTGGAGGCAATCAAGGTGGACAACTTCAAGGCGATCACTGAGGAGGGCATGACCCCCGTAGCTGAAAAACTTGGAGAAAAGGCAGGGCTGTGAAGTGGGGCATGGCCACATGTTGAATAGTGAGGTTTGGGCCAAACATGATTTATAATCGACACTCCCTCACGATGATCCTTCCGGTGACCAAATTAATTTTAAAGTCAAAGGTTTGCGTTCAAAGACCTCACTGGCACTTGTGTAATATAGGTTGTAGAATGTAGAATTATCAGGTATACTATGGTATATTTATGTTTGAAGGAAACTTAACTCACATATTAAATTCTCATATAGGTGAGATGCACAGTGGTTCAACTGTAATCCTGTTACACTTTCACATCGGGATTGGGCAACACACTTACAGTGCCTGACTGCTACAGGTGCTACCGGAAGTGGTTCAGTTCATGGACAAGGTCCATGGCAAAATGATGCTTGTGCAAACCAATTTGGGTAAGTTGGAGATCGAGGGTGATGGGGCAGCCAACCCAGCCACAAAAGAGCCAGGGCCCCACTTCAACTATTATTCATGCAAATGCTGAGATTCATCAAACCCAGAATTCATGTCAAACCAGGGCCCCACTTCAAAGCTTTCCCACGGCCTGCAGCCCAGGCTGATGAAAGATTGGGACAGCGTGAGGTTGAACTTTAAGCAGGTCTTCCAAAGCCTCGCTGAAATCAAGGCTGACATGACCATCGGGGATTCGGATGCCGCTGAGAGTGAGCAGTTCACTTGGCTGCATCTTTATTTGACTTGGATCGCAATTTACCTGGGCTTTCGCATTGCAAATCTCAACAGGATCCAAGAAAAAATCCATAGGTTTTGTTATATTTGGGCTCAAAGGGCCAAGCTTACTCAAAGAGCCAAACCTCCCAAATCTTCCGGGCTGTGTGGCAGAGGGAATCCCACAGTAAAGACCCCACGAATTCCTTTTTCTAAAACGTTACTTATGCTTGATTTATCATGCTGCCAAGACTTCTGGCTAAGACCATTCCAACTGATTTGAATCGCATGGATTTTCATTTTTGTTTGCCTATAGTCATCTCCTTGGCAACTGCCTGCTATGAGCAATGCCGATGCCGATGATGAGTCGCTTTGGCTTCTGGAACTTATAGAGTACAACCGTTGCCCTGCCCCTTGCATGCAGCCGAGTTGACAGTCATTTGCTAGATTCTGCTAGATGGATTCGAATTACATTATTTGAAATGTTCAACGACTTAAGATCATGCAATCAAACTCCCTTGCCCCTGGCGACTCCAACCTTTAACCCAAAACCAGGGGACCGCCAAAGCTCAGGTGATGCTTGCCACTCCAGAAAGTTCGAAGCTGCAGGCTCCGAAATCCTTGGATATGGAGGACAGTTTTGGGGCCACCAATGGATGCATGACTGTTTTGGTTTATTTCAACCTCCCAAGAAAATATTTTATTATATAATGGTCGGGGTGCTGGTTAATAAACTTGGTAAAGTGATGGTCCAGCTCTGTAGCATGGGTTTGGGGACTACGCCCTGAAAGGTGCCACAACCATGGTGCTTTCAACTTGATGATGCCGTGTTGAAGTTGACACGGGCTGCAGAATCGTTCCAGCGGATATTTGAAGACCCATGTCTGGATTGTCAACTGCCACCAAAAGGTAGTTCTTCAGGGAAAGTCTTGGCCCATGCATGTCGTACCATCGACAATGTCATTGATAGATATGGCCCTCTGGTTTTCAAAATCGGTTGGACGCACTGTCCATTCTATCGTTTTCGGGGATGCAAGTATGGCTATGCTTCAGACATTCATCAGAGATGGGAAAAACTTTTAGTCCTCTACTCGTCAGTGGAGCCTGTTGGTCCCTCTTTCCTGGAATCAGCTCTTATTCAACGCTATAGAGGAATCTCGGTTAGTGCTATGCCTTTTTTATTTTAGATTTTAATGCACTATGTATTTTGACTTCCATTCCCAAATTGTCACAACCCTATGGATTTCCATGATCATCGCCCCCTGTCCCTAAGGTAAACCTGGGTGCAGAAATGAACGCATCGGCGGAGACACTGTCAATGATGGTGTTTCTGGTGGTCCATATTTTACTTACTTGGTTTACCAGAGTTTCAAGAGGCCCAGCAATGCCCACTTAATGTAATTCGATCAAATTAGCTGAAAGTTCACCTCTTCCTCAAAAAGATTTGGGGATCCGACGAGCACAACATGTGCAACCCTGTGCCAAAAAAATGCCAAAGTGCCATCCAGATTGATGGGTCTCGAAGGCCCAGCTCGTCACCCATTATCGCCCCATGGTGTGATTTCCTCGGTATGGCCAGCTCAACAACTCTTCAACCAAGGCTTCGCACCAAGTTCAACCAGCTTAAGGAGAAAGCCAAGAAACCGTTGCTCAGCTATGAATTTGTGGACACGCTCTAGAAAGATGTCGTGAAATCAATGGAAATATCAAGAGCAATCCAAGCACCTAACTTGACCCCTTTAGAATCTTTAGAATCTTTACAAAATAGAAACCATGCAACGGACCTAGCTTGTGATTCTTCAGGGCTGCTGACATCTTGACCCTGGAGTCCCGTCAGAAGAAACTTGGACCAAAAAATGGCTTGAGGGTGTTAGCTGAAGTTGCTTCTGATTACATCAGGCATTGCTCTATATGTGGTAAGTTTTCAGAATTAAAAATCACATGGCTGGGGGCAAACCATTCAGATCCAGTTGAATGCTTGGCCTTCAATCATGCAGTGCCATGTCCAATTTGTGCAGCCCAACACAACCTAACATCCATGTCAGCCAAGGATGTTGCTTGCGACCTTCAAGAAGAAGCCAGCGAAGGGCAACGAGAACAAGAGTCCAAAGGAACCTAAGGAACCTAAGGAACCTAAGGAACCTAAGGAACCTAAGGAACCCAAAAATCCCAAAAATCCCAAGAACAAAAAAGATAAGTAGAAGAATGCTTGACTGGACTTTGAATCTCATCTGCACTTGTTCCGAACCACAGAGTTTTGGTTTTCCTAAAGTGTCAGCCAAAACAGTGCCATTCGCAACATGTTTCAATTTTAATGTTGTTTTTTCCCCAAAAAAAAACTGTTCCCATTCCCAGAATCTTGCAGCTCAGGATCTGTCTTCGCAATGAGGTGGCTGCGTCCAGGATGCTGCAAGCCTCGTAGCGTGCAAATGTTGATCTATCAACATGGCTGAAAGCTGTGCACCCTGTTGCTTTAGATTTTGTCTCGTGGCCCAGTCAACTCTTTTAGTGTTATCATCTCACATGTCAAATATACAAGGTGTAAAAAATCAAAGTCTTCATCGTTCCAGATTCCAAGAAAATAAGATCTTCATAGCCAGTCTGTATCACCCTGGGCCCAGCTTTTGGAAATTAGGCGTGGGAATCTTAGATTCTATGGACGTGTTCCTAGCAGCTTCTGCGGGGAGAGCGTATCTGACATGATATGCCATATATGCAGATCGAGCTGATGGCTATAGATTACGGTTCCTTCCCTAGCTGGGGATCATACATTGAACATGCAGCTGTGTGCGCGTGCCGGGAGAAAAGCTGGAGAACCCCCATGCTGACAGAACCCACAACTTGATGGAAATTCAGCAAAGGGACAGATGCATACTCGCACATGCCAGGGCCATCAGAAGCAGCTCTCGATATGGCATGGAGCTATGCTAAGGGCGCCCCTTGTCTCTTTCTGAGTGTGAAGGTGTGCATCTGGAAATTTCTCATCTCTGGTTTGGACCCTTGAAATTTTGAAATGCATTGAGATGCCAAAAAAATGATAGTATTGTTTTTTCGGCTCATCGATGTGCAAATGCCTTTGGAACATTTGAAAAGACTCCAACACTGTCGCCTCAACTCGGGAGTCATATTCTAACTCAGGCACCTTGCACTGAGATCATCCAGAGAGCAAATTCTACAATTGATTATGACCTACGTGATCAACATGAGACCTTGGAGAGACCAGCGAAGATGGCCAGGGTGTGTCCCGTTCTTTGGGATCTCTATCACTCTGACTTCAACAAATCTGACACCAAAACTGTTATTAATTGCAACATTTTACACCTCACCAGGGTCTATACGGGTCATATCAAATTCCGGGTTTATTGACAATGGATAGCTATTTTTGGGACCTCTTCATCACACATGGGCTATGAAAGCACAAAATGTCTTTTTATCTGACCACATTTTTCCTTTAAAGGTTTGCTCTGTTTGCCATAGTTCTGACTCACTCTAGGAAGATCGGGTTTCTGATGCATTCCTTCGGCACGGTCTTCGATTGGGGGTTCAGGTTTCCAAAGGAAAAGTTGGTGATGACCCCAATTTTCCCTACATCAAAGTGGCTTCCTGGATACAGACTTTGGATGACCATGGAAAGCTTGACCGACTTTTGGGGTTGGGTGCAAACGTTCGAACTTTGAAGGATGCTGGCAGCTCCCTTGAGG